TTCTCCTCTCTCTCTCTTCCTTCGAAAAAGCACTCGTCTTGTCCATGCTGCGGGCGTCAACGGGAGTAGCCAGGGGAGGCAACCCCGGTCAGAGTGCACCATTCAGAAAAAATCAGAAAAACTCAAAGAAACATCAATCAAAAAAAAAACAGGAAAATTAAAAAAATTGGGAAGAATAAAAAGCTAGAAAAAAGAGATGTTTGCTCGATTTTAACACAGCGAAGTGCCCCTGGGAGGCGCCGTGGGCTCGGCCGTGGGTCCGCCGCCGCGCGCTTTGACGCATCCCCGGCGTCCACTCGGCCGACGGACGCACGGGACCAGTCCCGGATAAAAGCCATTGAGTCATAAAATGGGGAGAACGAGTGAGCGCGGCTGTCGCCATCGGTCGGTATCAGGGCGAGCGGGACCAGTCGCGTCTCGCCGTCGCGTCGGGGGTTCCAAGAGAGAGATAGAGGGAGAGAGAGAGAGAGAGAGAGAGCGATGGCGACGTCGTCCAGGAGGTCGTGATGGTGGTGGACAAGGAAGCCGTCTTGGAGGTCGGTCGCTGGCCTGAAGAGGGTCTTCTGTGTGCGACTGTAACGTGGCGCAGGCGCGTGTGCGGTGCAAGGGTATACTATACGGTCGCTGCCGTGCTGACGCGGGTCCGGACGCCGTGCGGGTAGGCCACCCGCCCGCACGCCTGCGCCGCGGGACAGTAGGCGGAGCGCAGGACGGCGTTCGTCAGCTGCGACTGCGCGAGCGTGGCGTGGCGGGTGGATGTCACCGACGACGACACGGGAGCCATGTGTTTGCCGGAGGTTTTCGAAGTCGCAGACGTCCATGGACGAAGGGCTGGGACGCGGACGCCCTGCAACACGCGTCCACGGCCTCATATGGTGGCGATTCATCCATATTACAACCGTTTCTCATTAATCAAATTACTCAGGGACTCATCGGCACGTCATCTCTCTCTCTCTCTCTCTCTCTCTCTCTCACGCGCGCGCGCGCACACACACACACACACACCCACCACAGGAATGGTAATGGCGGGGAACGTGGCGTGGCGAGGAGGTGTTTTAGTCACCTCCTCTGATTCATAATAATTCACCGTACAGCTGGCAGAGGCGCGTCGCTCCGGGGCCCTCTATTCTTATCCCCCCTCTCTCATTCTCTCTCGCATTCTCTCTCTCTTATTATCTCTCTCTCCCTCTCTCTCTCTCTCTCCCTCTCTCTCTCTCATCTGCCCGGTAGAGCAGGCGCTGCTATCCGTCACCATCAGTCCGTCAATCAGGGGCTCGATGAACGCATACAGAGTGATCATTCGCCGCCGACAATGATCCTCGTTAGAGCGCGGCCCGGAGGCGCGCCGCGGCGTGGCGTAGCGTAGCAGTGCGTGATGGTGGGGCAGGGAGGGGGGTGGTCGCGGAGGAGGAGCGCGCTCGCGATAGCAGCCGCGCGGGCGGCGATCAGCCAATGACCACGCGGCTACCGCCCCTCCTCCTCTCCCTCCTCTTCCCCTCTCTTTCAAAGGCATGGAGAGGGCCCGGGCTGGGAGGCGGCGCACTTAGGCCCAATTTGTGACGTTTGTCGCGCGCGGGCCGTCGCCGACGCGGTCCATAAGTCCATCATCATTATACCACTATCGACATCAGCCGACAGCCGACATCTCGAGTGGGTTCAAGAGTCAAACAATTTTTAAAAACCCAGAGAAAAAAATCGGAAAATTGTTATTACCTCCTGTAAAATTTATTTGATCTTTGACTGCTCAGAAAAAAATATAAATCCCACAACAACAAAATTTTAACATGGTTTTCTGACAATAAATTTTTGGAAAATGTATATCCTTATACTAGCCTCCGTGTCTGAGATGATGAAGTCCGTGTTTGGCAGCCAGCTCTTGTGCGGTGCGAGTCGAGCTCCCCGATCACATCGATAGACGGTCGTGGTGGACAATAAATCCCTCGGCCGGGGGTACGTATGGAGTACTGGCTGCCAGCCCCGCCAGCCCCTCTGCTGGGGCGCGCGGCCCGGGCTGGCAGCGGGCCCGTAGCCCAGGCACCAGCATGCTAAGTGGCCCATTACGCGCGACCTCCACGCTCGGAAATGGAATAATGGAATGAAAAAGGAAGCGCGGCGCGCCCGCCTGCCGCCGCCCAGACCGAGCGGGCAGGCAGCCGCTGGCGGGGCAGGCGGGGCCGCCAGCCACTCAGGGACGCGGGGCGCATGCGCCTGGCTGTACGGCGGATAACCTATACGAAATATCCCTAATGATGCGAGGAAGGGGTGTATGATTAGAGGTGTAATCACTGAAATACTCCTCAGAAATTAGAAACAAAACTCTTTGAGTACATTCAATAAAGTTAAATATTGATTTAAATGTTGATAAACTTTTTGAATACTTATTAATTTTCTCTAGAAAATATGCCACTAAAAACTTCAAGCAAAGTTTATCTCTTTAGGTTGGTACAGGATCCACAAGAAAATGGCAAAACGGCGTCAATTATGTTGCGCTCCCACACTAATGTCGACTCATCAATGCGGCAAAGCATGGATATTTTTATCACATCGTTGAAGTGTGCCAGTGCGAAACCGATAAGTCGATCAGGCATCGCGAATGACTGATGACTGCGGGATGCCGCAGAAAGGATAGCGCGAGTACACATTTTTCAATTATTATGATGCGACAAACAAAATACAATTCAGAAAAAAGAAGTGCTTGGAAAACTGTTGTTTCTGACGACAGTGTACACGCTCACCTATCCGCACCTTGTTATCCCTCTGGACGGGGGTAGGTCGGTTGGTCGGATATGAGCCGATTGGTAATTGGCCTTTCCCCTCCGGATTGTTATTATTTTGACTGGAACAGCATCAGTTGTGTTTTCTAGTTATGGGTGTCCGATTTGCTCTATGCGCTTAACCTTATCTCTGGAAACCCAAGTGTGTACTTGAACACACAATATTCTGCATACCTAAGATGTATGCAGAATATTCTGTGTACTTGGCAAGTACACAGAATATTGTGTGTACTTGGTCAAGTACACAGAATATTGTGTGTACTTGGTCAAGTACACAGAATATTGTGTGTACTTGGTCAAGTACACACTAAAACCTCCATACATTTATGCACGAGACTTAGTGTGTACTTGACCAAGTACACACAATATTCTGTGTACTTGATCAAGTACACACAATATTCTGTGTACTTGCCAAGTACACAGAATATTCTGCATACATGTAGGTATGCAGAATATTCTGCATACATGTAGGTATGCAGAATATTGTGTGTTCAAGTACACACTTGGGTTTCCAGAGTAAATTTATTTCGTGTTTAAAAACCTGGTTGTTGAAAAGGAAATAAAATTTTGTGCCAGTTTGGATACTTGTTCGAACACTGGGTGTTCGTTCCATAGACTTGCGCGGCGGGACAAAGACGGATACAAACAGCAATACAGAGTTGCGCGGGAGAGACGAGGGGTC